AACACATTTCCTGTGGGTGCATCATCATGTTGCATAAAAGAAGCAAAGTGGTAGATGGCCCTGTGTTTTACATGACCTGCCAGAAGAACAGGAACTTGACTTTAAAAAGACAATGTAATTTAAAAAAAAACTTAACTGAAGCATTTACAATAGGAAATCCATTATACTCACCTCCCTCGTAACCCGTGTCTTCTAACTTATCTCTGTTCTAGCACAGCAGTCTCTGTTAGACTCTTTGGCACTCAACACTTTTTCAAGTGTCAGATGCCAAAGAGTCTTACACTGGCTGCAACACTGGACCAGAGTGAAGGTAGAAGACATGGACCACTGGAGAGAATAATATATATATTATTATTGTAACAAACTTCCATCTATAAAGTTGTACCCTGGTGAATCATTGCCTTAGAGCTTAACATGTAACATTAAATTATCAAAAAGCTTGTGCAGCAATTATATAGGTTATAATAGAAATAGTTTTATTGTAATATCAATAATTCATTACTGAATATCTGAACGTTATTATTTTGACAATGTGTAATTCTGAACATTTTTTGATTATAAGAATCCTCTATTGCTGGTTGCCTGGCTGTAGTGCATTGGTGGGGTAGTTACTGTCAAGAAACAGCAGAAAACTGCTGATTATACCTGTAGAGCTGCTTTTCCAGTTACATATGCAAGGCTGAGCTCTTATTTTGACAGGTGGATTTTGCAGAGTGCAAGAGACAGCTGATTGGTGATGAGCCAGAAAAGGCTTCTTCTGCAGCTGCACCCTCCTCCTCCTAACCAGAGGCGGCTCTCTAATTAGGCGAGTTAGGCGATCGCCTTAGGCCTCGCGGTCACCTAACTCGCCTAATCTAAAGCAGGGATAGACAAAGTCGGCGCTGTGGAGGGAGATAAATAAAAAGCACCTTCGTCGGTCTACGTGTCAGAGCGCTCCCCCGCCGGGACTTCACTCCACATTCCCCTGCTGGGACTCTGCTCCATCCGCAGCCCATCCTGGTCTTATTAAGTGTAGCAGTGCAGCCCCAGCAGCAAGAGCAGGAGGTGAGAGGACCGGGATGAAGATCAAAACACTCCATTCCTTGTGTTAATGTGTTGCAGCACGGCTGCAGGTGCTGGTCCCCTCCCCGTTCCTCCCTCCTCCCGGTAAATGTGAGCTGAATGGTGTCTGTGAAGAGGATCACTGTGGGCTCCAGAGGCCCGTTCTTGTGTCTTTTTTTTGTCAGCCTGCCATGCCGTGGCCTAACCTGCCACACTATAACACATGGTAGGTATGTTGTGCAAAAGCTGTTTTGCCTTCTCACACATGAGATTTATTAGAAACTGGATTGAGCAAATATAAGCGTTGTTGGGCAGGAACATTAGTGGAGAATGTTTAATTGCATTCTTTTCGGGAGGGGGCCCCATCATTTTTTTTTGCTATGGGGCCCTTTGGTTTCTAGTTGCACCCCTGCATGGGGCAAGCAGCTAGAGCGGGACACAGATGAACCGAGAATCTGAACACTATATTGGAAGATATAATGTACAGATACACGGAATATCTAGCTTTGCCACTGGCTGCGTGTAACCAGAAATGCTGCTGGCTCATTGCCATCCTGTGCTCTAGCGCCTACATGTAGGCCCTGCAACTCCACACACCATACATGCTGGGCACCTGGCAACCTAGTCCCCCTGTTGTGCCTGCATATCACCTCAGCACTCTCTCCTCGCTCTCCTTTCTGGCTGTCTCTCCTTCTGGCTGTCTCTCCTCACTCTCTCTCCTGGCTGTTTTTCCTCTCTCTCTCACCTGGCTGTATTCCCTTGCTCTCTCTCCTGTATATTCTGCAAAAAAAATGGTGCACTGTGCTAGAGTGTTTGGGTTTCGCTGGAAGACAAGGTGGCAACCCTAATCAGCTCACCTCCCAGGTTACATGGGACCAGGGCTGGTGCTAGCATAAGGCTGAGGGTGCCGGGAAGGGGGGGGACCTGTGTAGGCAAAATCTGTGCACCAGCCTTAGGCTCGCTCTAATCACTGATCATCACAGTTCATTTTTAATTATGGGTGTAAGTGGGGGCCTCACATTTGAGTTCCGCCTAAGGCCTCACAAAGTCTAGAGCCGCCTCTGCTCCTAACACAGCTTCTTCTGCCTCTAAATTGACCCAGCTCTGCCTGGCGGTGTCTGGCTTATGCAAATTAGAAAGTCAAAGTGAGGTACAGAAGCCACTGAATCAGCAAGAAAGCCATGCAAGTGCATTTTTTTTGAAGTAAAGAGTAAATGGAGGATGCAGAAATTCTGTCAGCAGTGGAAATCAACATAAAGTCAATGATATATGAGGTAACCGCTATGAGGGCTTTTACTATGCCAGTCCCGTATACTTAACCAGTAGCTTAAACAACTTAGATTTCATACTGCGTTTGTTTCATATTGACCTTCTTCTTAGATGACAATATGCATTTTCATTTTATTGCATAGAACAAATCACAAATCATTATCTGCTCCCACTAAGGAGCATATATATAGATACATATTTGTAGATACTACTGAGATTCCACTAGGAGGTTGGTGAAAATCTGTAAAATGTCACTTGTCCCCTTGTGAATGCACCATAGAAATATATTCAGGGCTGTCTTAAATATTGATTGGACCCTGGGCAAACATGTTCTTGGGCCCCCCGCCCTGCCCCCACCTACCACAGCAAGCCCCCTACTTGCCATG